CTAGCAACATAGCCATTACACTAGCTGCTGATCCCTCAGTTTTTCTAAATGTTGAGTCATTGGAAAAGTCATGACACGGTTTTGCATGGAACCACAATAGAAAAATACATCATGACTTTTCCAGTGACCCAATATTGGTATTAAGAGTTATTGGTAAGGGACCAGTTAGTGTAATGGCTATGTCGCTGGACTCCAGTGTAGTCAACCGCAGTTCGAGTCCCAGACCCGGTGGCTTAAACTCAGGCCAGGCGCATGTGCATGCGTGCCCAAGATCCCGAGAGGAGAATGGAGGAGAAGGGATTACAGTGTGGCCATCCCCCCTGGGGGGTGATTTCTCGCTTTCTGTCTCTCTGTCTGTCTGTCTGTCTGGCAAGCGCACGTACCCTATAGCAAAAACCTCTCCAAAAGAAGAAAAAAAAAAGAGTTGTTGGTGAGATAAACACTATTTGGATTCATCAAAGGACTAGACGTTAACATCAAAGTTCGTGACTTTGAACATGAGGAGCCAAGGGAAATAGGTCTGTAATAGCTTGGGGTTGGGATATATAAAACATATTCACAGACTTATATTTTGTCCTTCTAGATATAACATAACATACTTAACCATTCACTTTGGGACATAAGGTTGTGCAATTCACTCACTGTTTAGGTTATTTTATTAGAAATAGATATGTGAATTCAAACATATGCATTTTTTAGGTTTCATGTATGTTTTTCAAAGTATATTGGTATTTTCAAGGTTCTTGGTATGTTTTATATGCATACACATGATAGAGAGAGGTTCGTTTTTTTCTGGAAAATAAATGTACTTGTGTTTAAGATCCTGAAATTCAAAAGTTCTCTATCACAAATCATTCCCTTTTCACCTTGAAACTCTTTGGGGGGTAATTTTGCTAGAGGGCATGTGCACTTGTCTTGTTTCACTTGTTTAACTCTCAGTTATTGGGGCCAGCAAGTGGCATAGTGGTTAAGCACTGGACTCCCATGTGGTCCACCGTGGTTCTAGTCATAGATCCAGCGACTAAAACCCAACAGGTGCGTGTGTGTTTGTGCCCAAAATCCCGACAAGAAAATGGAGGAGAGGGGGTTATGGCATGGCCATTCCTGCCACGGGATGCTTTCTCACTTTCTGTCTCTCTATCTCTGTCTCTCCAGCAAGTGTGCATGCCCTATTGCAGAAATCTTTTAAAAAAATCAAATAATAGTATTTTATGAAAAATTTGCTGTTTTTACATAAGAAAAATATTTTTATTTGCTTTCTTTGATAACTATTGAAGGTACTGATTTTTTCAACTTTACAAATCATTTCTGTTTTCTCATTGTCTTCAATAGCCTCTGCAGAAATTTGGGCAACCTATCTTTCGATTTGTTTCTTAATTGTATAATTTTCAGCATGATTTTAAATATATTGAGTTTATATTTAAATTTTGTTTAATTCATTTTGGTTTTGCTATAGGGCATGTGCACTCATCAGCAGG